CCATGTACGATTTTGTAGTGTAATCCTTCATATGACTTCCGTATGATGTTGACGATTTTCTCAGGTACACCACATTATTGAAGAAGTTTCCACAATGTCGCCTCATTGACACTGCTAAAAGTTTTCTCACAGTCAGTGATGTTGTTTCATATTTATTTCTTTTGCATCTTTATTCGCTGTTCATGCTAGGTCTTCTACGTATTTCCGTTTGTCAACTCTAACACTTTTTTCACTTTTTCGTTTGCTTCTGAGTACTCAGCGTGCACTTTGACTTTCTCCCTTCTTGTTCAGCTGTTGTCAATTGCTGTCTTGTTCTTTTTTTCTTGGATCATGTCTAGGGTTTTGACGGAGACCCATTCTTTGTGATGGTGTGCTTTGTGGTTCAGAACCTCATGTACGTTGAAGTCAGTGCTTTTTTAATCTCCATCGTCGTTTCCGCTTTGAGCAGATCTTATAAGGCTTGAAATCTGTTGCTGAGAGCTATCTTAAATTCGTAGAGTTTGACATGATGTCAAAGGCAGGCTGTATTAAACATTTGTAATGCTGTTTCTCCAGTTGTTTAGTGCTTCTTTAGCTTCAGTTTCATCTTATAAACCACCAGTTGGTACTGATCTGAAGTTATGTCAGCTCTTCTCCTGGTTCTTATGTCCTCCATTAACCTTCTAAATTTTCTAATGATGCAAATGTAATTGATCTGATTCTTTGTAGTACAGTCCAGTGGGACCCACATAGCTTTGTGTAATTGTTCGTACGGGAATATGATTCCAACCACAACCATTTTGTTGAATGCATATAAATTTGCAAATCTGTCACCATTATCTTTCCTTTCTCGCACTCCATATCGTCCCATGATATCTTCATACCCAGTGTTCTCCATCAAGATAATCAGGTCCTTTCCTGGGCACTTTGCTGTGATCGATTGAAGCCTCTCGTAAAATTGATCTTTATCGTCTTCATTGTTATCATTTGTGGGTGCATAACATTGGATAACATTCATTGTGATTCCCCCCTTTATTTTGAAAGGTGCCTTGATGATCCTGGGTTCATGAGATTCCCATCCTACAAGTGTATTACGTGCTTCTTTAGACAGCATCAGAGCAACTCTATGAGTGTGTAGAGCATTTCCTTCTTTGTAACCGGAATACAGCAGCATCTCTCCAAAATCTATCTTCTATCCTTTTCAGATTTAACAAATTTCATTTATTTCAAGCACTGTCAAGTTATATCTTCTCAATTATGTAGCTATTTGACTGGTCTTTCTAGTCTCCCACATTGTCCGAATATTCCATGTACCCAAATTAATTGTTGCTCTAATTGTTAGAAGAGGCCTCTACTTCGTGACTTCCAACGAATTTCAGCTTTCATCATAAAGCGTTATAATTATTCTTCAACTCCTAGAGAACAGTTAAAATGGTTTAGTTTGTTTATACTGATTAGCATATTTTTTTAACAAGGTTATTTCCTACAAGATTGAATTGCTAAAATTCCATGTCCTTATTTGTTTACTATTAATTTTCTCTTGACTAATTTCATTAAATTAACCATTTCTTAAATAACATACCATGTGAAAGGAAGAGAGAGACAAAGAGAGAAAGAGATAGAGGTTTGATCATAACAATTATTTTTTTCATTATTTACAAATTGACAATGTTTACATGTTTACACATGATTGACAAGTAGTCCTGTAAACTTATTGATTAAATGTTGATGTTTTTGTTTTTTGTTCTAACAAATTTCGTAATCATAACAACAACAACAACAACGAGGATAACCATAGTAAAATGAAGCAGAATGATTAAGTAGATATAACCTTTAAATATCTAAATTTGAAAGGATTGAATGACAATAAAATTCTCACACATTTTATTCGGTTCTATTAAGTATGTGGATATTTATGAAGATTGTACAGTATAATCAGATATGCATTGGATAAATAAAATTTCATGTATACGGGGAATTTAGTAATGTCATGTATTCAGTCATAATAATAATAATGATAGCGAGATAGAATATAAACAGTGACTGTACTCGATAATAAAAATGAAAATCCTTTATTCATCTAATTGAATAAACAAAGATGTGTGAAAGGAGATAGGTGATTAAAGTGTTTAAGGTAAAGAGAGAGAGAGAGAGAGGGAGAGAGAGGGAACTAAGTTATATGTTACCCATTCACATGTTGTAAGGCTTATTAGATCCCCCATTTATATTAACCCAAAGATAATATAAATAATGTGGAAAATGTAGTAGATATTTTTATACTAAATAGTGTAAATATAAACAGAGACAAGTCTTAAATAGAACGAAATATGCGTCCTGGATTCCACTGCTAACAACATCCACCTCTGTTGTTTATAATGTTTATGACTTAAGACAATATTGAGGCAATCTGTATAGGATGTATATGTGCTAATAAGTGACCGATCAATTGCAGTCCTAAACATCAATGAGAAGATTCAAACAAATGAATTTATATAGTTCTGTAAAGATTTCAGCTAATAAAATATTGAAAATCAGAGACCATTAGGCAATAGATGATATGTGTTAGGCGACTAGAGTAAACTGTGGAATTAGGTTTCATACTAGATGACATTCGTTGCAAGGCCAACCAGCAACCTTAAGAGAGTTGATGCTTCATCTAGGAATTGAACTCTTGTTAACTAGCTTCATAATCTAAGACGTTTGTACTAAACTATTCAGATCACTTTATAGAATTTGATCAGCTCCAAAGATAAAAACATACATGAAAATGCATATTTACAGTTACCAACCAATGGTGAAGATTAGTTCCAATTTCTGTGACATTTCCACTGGTTTATTTAATAATAGTAGTGATTTACATCCAGTTGGATTAATTAAAGTTTTAATAAATTCTCATATCCTCTGAAGTCAACGAACTCAACAGTTAAGCAGTAACAATCTCCACAACCCTATACTGAGACAGTAACTCACTGATGAAAATGATGGGTGTGTCGCTCAATTTCGTGGATTAGTTGGAGTTAAACATTAACACCGTTGGATACCGGCCGACTCAGTGGTCTAGTGGTCAGGCGTTCGCGCGCAAGACTGACAGGTCCCGGGTTCGAGTCCCGTGAGGAGCGGTCGTGGATGTGAACTGCTGAAGAGTCCCACAATAGGACGAGATGGCCATCCAGTGCTTCCAGGTTCTAAATGGTGGTCTAGTTTCAATCGACTCATGATCTCAACTATTGAAATCATGTCTAGCTCATTTTTTTTCAGATATCATTTTTCAACCTATTTGTATTACATAATGGTAGTATGTGATGGTTTATAGTTTCTGTTTTGTATTTTTTTTCTTGCATCAAGTCATAACAATTTTTCTTCAGTTTACATTCATTGGATTCAGTCTATACTTATTAAATAAATTGATTGAAGGTAAAAACTTGGTAGTTCTTGATTTCAAGGTACAATTTAACACAAGAGATTATAATGGACATAATAGGAAATGTTCAGAAATAATTAAGGGTTATCAGACCGAATCAGGATAACACATAACCAAGCTGCTGACATTTCATTCGAGTTAATTGAGGAAGTGTGAACTTTCAGTATGAAATCGTGATGATAAAATGAGATCGTGAAGTAATATTTTTTGTTACAATGAAGGTATTTTATAACCCATTGTTTATTTTCTCCGTCGTTATTGATTTATTTATTGATGTTATTGTTGTAAATTATGATAAATTCACGTAATTATCAAAATTGTTTTTCGTTGATCTCCTTTTCTGTTGGACATTTCTACATCTTTTTAGCGAAGTGTTGGTCAAAGGAAAAGGTACGCCTATATAAACTATAATAACAGCTTCCTCATGATTTTGAAATCACGAATCAATATAAACTAGATAACGACTGAGAATCAAGAAGCACTGACCGATTGTCTCTTATTACTATGGTACTACTCAACAATGTACAACCACGACCCCTCTAGAAATCGAACGTAAGACCTCATGGTCTTATAATGAGAACTTAATTCATGCTGAATATTTGTGTTTGTTGAACAAAAACAATTATAGAGTTCATAATTGTTGATATGTTTAATGCTAGTCATCTAGATATACGTGGATTCCAGTTTGAATCTCAAATAAAAAAACACTCATTCTGAATTCTACTGATGAACAAAATCGATTCTGTATAGAAACTTATAATGATATGTTTGTATCTAAATAATCCATACAAGATGTATCAATAAGATGGTGGTTGGAGTTAGTCAACAGGTGTCGTGCTACTTGGCACTCGTCAGCAAGGTATACCTAAATGTTTGGGGGAACTGGTGCTCCCTGACGGATTCAATCCTGTGTCACCCAGCTTCACAGCCAAAGAGGTTACCACTGGGTTATCCGAGCCGCGACCGACCTACTGTAGGAGTGAGATGTAATCATAATTGATTGATCACTGGGTAGTGATCAATGTCATGTGTGTCAAGTCCTTTTTAATGCAGATCGAAGGCTATCGACCAAGTTGCAATCTGGCCACTAGTCTATGTGACTCAATATTGCGTGCACTATGTTGAGATAAGATGGTGGTTGGAGGTAGTCAACAGGAAATCTTGGACCCAGGTTTTGTACTATTTGGCAGTAACATATAGCATTCGATCTACACTAAGAAGGATCTGAAACACATGACATCGATCATCACCCAGTGATCGATCAATTGTTATAAGATGTATAAATACTAACAAAGATTGATCAAATTCAGTACTGAATATCAACAATAGGATTATTTATATCCTTTTTTTACTTCCTGTATATAATACCATTAATCAATTCGGTATAAAAGGAATACAATAGATTTCTTAAAACATTTATTATAATGATCGCTTCTATTCATCGTATAACCAAAACAAAACAAAAAAAGCAGACATGCATTATCAATAGAGAAAATCGAGAATAATGCCAGATGACATTTGTATTCAATACAATAGTAAGTTTAACCATAGATACTCGAGAAGATGACATTATTATTATTATTAATTTTGGTTCACGAAAATGTATCATAGATGCGCTTTTATTTATTTCGAATATAAAAAGAGTATGGTCAATAATAATAATAATAATAATAATAATAATAATAATAATAATAATAATAATAGTAATAATACCAATAATAATAACAACACTAATGAACCTAGTGTTCACTTCTTTTTAGTACTTAAACAAATTTCTACTGGAGCAATAGGGTACTATTCAAGTACACATATACATATGTCTCATCTATTGTATATTAAGGTAAGACAGTCAATTGTTTTTTTTTGGGGTGGGGAAGCGGGGGTTACCGATGAATCTCTTTGATCTTTTATTGAATTCAATCAACGATAAAGATATTTGTCTGATTGAATAAAAAGATGAATGTTTTCCATTTCTTTTTTGTTTTTGTATATGGTTTGTACATATGTTTGACAAACAGAATTTATTAAAATAAAAAAAGAAGGGGTGAATCTAAAATTACAGAATATCATTCTAGTTAAATTACTATCACAAATTGATATGAATTTGAGAAACATTGATAATCGTTAATCACTAGACAACTATTCTTTATTGTAATCCTTAGACTCTTCATTAGTGAACATCTAATTATAATACTCAAGGGGTAGAATTCTGGATCTTTAAAACAAAGATGATTTTCAGCAGTATTACGCCTAGATTGTGTGAATTCTATCAATATGTGAAACTAGTGGTGTGGCGTGGGTTATTTATATTCACATAAGTAGTATATAACGGTGGTCAGGCATAGAATGTATTTCAGTAGAAGATCGATAAGAGAAGAACGGAAACGGAACGCAATTGGTATGAAAATGCATGAACAATGAAATCTGAGACAATAAACTGATATTTGTAAAAGGATTCAGTCAAGTTTGAGACAATGGATTGATATTTTGACAAATTAACTATTTACTATATGGTTCTCAGATTTTAGTGAGATATTCTGTAACTTTGTGCGGTAGGTACGTGATCCAGTAGGTTAGGCGTTCGCACTTGAGACTGAAGGCCCTGGGTTCGAATCCCGCGAGCAGGATCGTGGATGCGCACTGATGAAAAATCCAACAATAGGACGGAACGGCCGTCCAGTGCTTCCAGGTTTTCAACGGTGGTCTAACATCAATCGGTACATGATCTCAATCAAAAACTAGTGTATATTTCCAATTATAACGTATCCAAAATTTGTACAGAATCATACTTAACCCCGCTTTTTTTACAATAATTTGCATTGATAAAATATTAATCAGAAAAACAGAAGCACTAACATAAGTAATGTATTTTCAGGTTTTCTCTATAACTGTTTTAGTGGCCCTTAATCTGACTCCAACAGGCTCGTACGAATGTTATTGAAAACATATACATATCGTCAGTCCTCATATATAATTATTGAACGCTTAACATCTGGACCACTAAGCCAGCATCCAACGGTGTTAATATCTAACTTTAACCGATCCAGGATCTTTTGTAACCCTTCATCCATTGTCTGAGGTGCATAACTATCTCACACATAACACGGACTGGACTCCATTGGTCATAGCTTCTCACTAGAACTTCCGGAAATCCATCTTGAAGCTAGTCACTAGTCTACAAATATTTCTTGGAACTATCATTGTAGTCAATATTTATACTTTTAAATGTTAATATAATTGTGTTTAATTAGTATAACTTTTATCATGTTACGTAATCGAGGAGTTTGAGTAGGTGTATGTGGAAATTAACTTGATCAAGAAAAAAATCGGTGTCAAATAAACGTTAGTCTAAGTTTAAACATTATAAACGAGATTTAAAGTACCAATATGTTAAGTTATCATTTAAACTATTCTGTTTAACGAGAATGTTTGTTACAGAATGTTATAGTCTTGAAATTCTAATCCTGGTAAATGATGGTTACACAGAGACAAAAGTTGAATGATATCATCAAATGTAGACTATACAGTTTAATTTTAAGTTCTTTTCTTTATCAAATCAGTCCTTACTATGAACTGAAGTCAACTGAATGAGTAGTTAATAACATGAACATATGTCTTTTCTTAAATGAATTTTCATTGGCATTGAGTAATAGTGACCTCTTCTAATGTAAAAATAACCATATTCTTACTATTGGATAATTTACAAAGTAGATTTGTTAAGGTTTTAGTTGGAAGTCATATTTTATGAAGTTACCAAGGTCGCTAATGAGGCAGAATGATAATAAGTACATTTCATGATGGTCGCATTATTTCACAAATTGATAGTGAGACTTATTACCTTAAAGGTGTTGCACTTGTGGTAAGATCTAAAGGTTGTCGGTTTGAACTAGTGAATGTTCACTATTGAGATACACCATATATACATGATATACTACCGTTTTATATTTTCCTTAGCTTATAAAATCTTTATAAACAATTTTCGTCATATACTGGTATCAACTGTAAAAGTATTAAAGGTTGAGGTGTTTCTATATAGCTTTTGAATGTCCAGTATTACACACACTTGTTCTAATCCGAAAGTTGGATCTAACTGTTCGGTGTTATATGGTTTTCATTGATTCATTAACAAAACAAAATTCTTTATATTATATTGATCTATACCAACCATTCAACTGATAAAACTTTCTTATTCTTTCTAAATCTTCATGTTTTCAACCAAACAAAGAAAAACTATTCAACCGGCATCCAACTGTGTTAATGTCTAACTTCAACTAATCCACGAAATTGAGCGACACATCCACCATTGTCTTCAGTGAGTTACTATCTCAACAGACCCTGTTGAACTCCACTGGTCACTGCTTCTCACTAGAACTCCAAGAAATACGTCTTGAAGCTAGTCACTAGTGAGCATATGCTGATTAATATCAGATGGGTTTTTGTGGAGATTGTAGTAATTTCAATGGTAAAAATCATGAGTCAATTGGATCTAAAACCTGGAAGCACTGGACGGCCGTTTCTTCCTATTGGGAGACTCCTCAGCAATGCACATCCACGATCCCGCCTCACGAGATTCAAACCCAGAACCTATCAGTCTCTCGCGGTAACACTTAATCTCTTTATGTTTTCAACTAAACAAAAAATCTCCTTCATTTCTCTATAAACATAATAATCATTCTGTAAATTCTTTATTGAAATCCTTGTTGTTTTTTTTTCAGAAAGAAAATGAAGTGGAATGCTTTATGTCTTATCAACGCATAAAAAATGAAGAATACAAGATATTGAAGACAAAAGTTTATGTATGCATTAATACGTCTGGAATAACTCATCATTAAAAATTGTAATCCTTTACAAATGAATACTGATATGTATATTTTTGTGTGGGACTTAAATTGCTGAAAATTAGAACCCCCCCCCAAAAAAAAACAAAATCAAAAAAGTAAAACCACACAGTGAATGGTATCGTCTCGATATTCAATGGATTGCAGTAAATAATACTAATTATGATATTTGTTTAGAAAAATAAATATAGTCAGGGTGGTGTAATGAAGAAAGAGCAAATAAAAAATACGAGAGACAATGTGTATTGTGGGTAAAGGGAATTGAACATTTTCTTTTCATATAAATATGACACGAGTGTTTTTAATCCAATTTCTCCACACAATGAAATAAAGTAACATACTTTGAAAGAGTTTACACTTGTCATTCCAAGAGTTGTTAATGTTTATGTATACATGTATATATATATATATATATTATATATATATATATATATATATATATATACCTCCATACTTTACTACATTGATACCATTATTAATGGTATTATTAGTAATATAATTGTAAGTATTAAAGAAGTGACATCTATCCACTTTACATATTCATAGTTCATTATTATTACTGTTTTAATATTGAATTTACAATTTACAGAATACATTAAGAGGAAACAATGATGAATTTAGTAGAAAAAAATGCTCTTTAAAACATCACCTTTCTTATCCCTCTGATCTTTCATTCGTATATTCTCTTAGTTGGCCAATCCATCCCTCCCCCTTTCACAAAAAGAAAACTTATTTACAAGTACATGTGTGAACTACACAAATAATAAAACAAAACAACAACAACAGTATCAGAATAGAAAAATAAAACATTCATGGTACATCAAAAAGAGAAAGGGTTTTATAACACCACATTATTTTTTTTTTGTCTATCAATAAAAATTATATTGATAGTTTTCTATTAGATTGATCCGTTTATTTGTCTTACAGTAGTTAACCCATATAATGGCCATCTAGTGCTTTCAAGTTTTCCATGATGGTCTAACTTCAATTGTCTCAACTATTGAAATGATTAGAATATCCACGAAAAAAAGTGACCTTTCTGATATTCATCATATAATATGATTTAATTTATGTATGTAGATTGTATGAGTTTAAATAACAGTCTTTATTTATTGATATAGAAGTTGTGTGTTGTAGAACTGAAATAACATAAATAGATATTTAATTAATCTACCGGTCCTAGATGATCAAATGAATGTGAATTGTTATCTACACGATGATAGTATTTTTTTCAGAGAGGGGAGGGGGGCTGGTGGCTATCTGAACTAAGTAGCTATGAGGATAACTCGATGATATTTGTAAGCGAACGGTACTGGATTCGAGTCCTGGAGTGAACATTAACCCTGGGATGAAGGTACATCTAGCTGATGAGTTTCAAATAGAATGAAGCATACGTCCTGGATTTCACTACTAGCCACCATCTCTCTCTGCTTATAAATTATGATCTGTTTTTATAAGTTAACAAATTCTGGAATAAGAAATTTTTTTTCTAGTCATTCCTATGATCTAGAAATCCCATCAATAATGAATAGAAGATTAGCAAAGATTTTTATTTGTATGTAAACACTTTAATTAACGAAACATTTTAAGAAATCGCACTGTTGATGAATATATAATGATTAAATAAGCATCCGATCCATACTTTTCATACTATGATGGTATTATATATGTATTAATATGTGATACTTGACTAACAGTGGAATCTAGGACATGCGATTCGTTCTTTTTTTATTAATACACATTAGATGGATATACCTACGTCCGGATGTTGATCTTCAAAGTATGATATTGCTTATCCACGACTACATACTCAACAATCAAACTTATGACTTTCGATCTTGAGCACGTGCATGTAGTTTTAATACAACCGATAATTCAAATTGGTACATTATTTCTTAGTTGCTGAAACAATTGCAATAAAATTATACTTGTACAAATGACAATGCCATTTTAATTAGATCCCCTTCAAATGAACAATATTAATTGTTCCACTAAAATAAAAACTTACTTATACTGATAATCTGATGGCCAAAACGAACGTTTGTTATGTAATGTGGGGCGGGACTATAATTTATGGACGAACCAATCAGATATGAAATAACAGGTCTTGGATCTTGGCGAGAATTTCATTCATCCATATGGCTAGATAGTATCTTGGCATTATAATTGATGTCAGTTTGTGATAAAAAAGCCTTTAATCTAATGCTTAAACTTAACCACCAACTGAAAATTCTAATTCTAATTCCTGACACTGGTTTATAACCCATATTTGGTCCCAGTTAGTAGGTGAATTCTCTCAAGGTCACTCTGGTGTCACTCAAAAGTCGTTCATAAATTATAATTCAAGCAAATCGGACTGGTAACTGATAGATAAATTTCGACTTTTCGACTTTTCGACTGGTTCTCATGAAGTATTACAATTATCATAGTAGTATACTTTAGTTAATATTCTTAATTCATTTATTTCAACTTAAGATACTACTTATTAGAAAGAACTTTTACATAATATATCTAGTAGCCAGACATATCAGCTATATAGGAAGAAAATAATAACCACTGAAACCTAGGGTAATAACCACCAAGCCAGGGTACATGCAGTCCAGCACGAAGCCAGGTGCATACCATACTCAACCACTGAAACCTAGGGTAACAACCACCAATCGGCTATATACTTAAGTTGTATTAAAATTAATACACAATAATAAAAGTAAATTTTCAAAGTCAAGATGAAATTGTAAGTGAAATACTGAGTATTTCAGTAGTATTAATGTATCAGTTTTCTAAAGTAGATAACATTAGAATTAAATAGATATAATTGTTGAAGAGTAATAATTCACTTTATCACTTTTCTTACCCTATACTATTGTAATGTATCCTACTTATATCGACAAACATAAGTAGTATATAACATTAATCGAAAATGAAAACCCTAACATTAGAAGATTAAAAAGATCAATTTGAAGATAATAGAAAAAGAAATAAAAAAGAAAATACGAATAAGAAGTGTTATACAGAATATGAATAACACTTGATAGAAATTTACAAATAAAGTAATCATTGAATAGTTCTTATATTTTACCAAGTCCTTATCCTCCACTTGTATTCTCATTCCATTACACTACAGTCGAATAAACACAAATATTTGATTCATTCAAAGTATATTCATCATGGACTATAATCAAGAATGAATACTTTAAAACAATAATTTTAAAGGAATTATTTAAAGTAATAACTATTATCCGTTAGCCAAACACTATCAGCAACAACCTACTGTGAGAGAGAACAAACCAGATCACAGTGGAAGAAGAAATCAGGATGAAGCGCTGGAAGTAGATATGACATATATTGAGGAAAGCACCCAACTGCATCATAAAACAACCCCTTACATGGAATTCTCAAGGCTAAAGAAGAAGAGGTAGACCACAGAACACACTACATTGGGAAATGGACATAGATATGAGAAAAATGAGCAAAAAATCGAGAAAACCAGAAACGAATGCCCAGGACAGTGTGTGTTGGAGAATGTTGGTCGGTGGCTTATGCTCCATTGGGAGTAACTAGCGTAAGTAAGTAAGGAAAGATAGAAGTAAACAATACCAAGTGAATATAAGCAAAAGTTTCATAGTAACTTTTTACTATTCTTTTGCGTGTATAATTTGACAGAATTACAATATAGAATTACATAAATAATAAATTTGTCTTAAAGATTATTTCACTATGATAATGAACTTGAATTCATTGACATCTATCGACAGTTATTTATTCATTATAGTAACGTGTCTCATAATCTCTATATGTCATGATAATATATATTTTTTTGTATTTTTTTAAGGGGCGAATGGAAAAAAAAATTTTCTTCCAGTTGAACTTAGTAGATAAATGAACAATTTATTATTCATATTGTTCTAACATTAATTTTCTCGGAATAGTTCTGTTATGCCTTCTTCTTTACTATATCACTTCTATGGTTTCCTTTCTATTCTTTCATATCATTTTCCTTTCGAATTACATTACTTACCCTAACCCCCTTATCGCTCAAAACCACCCACCCACCCACCTACCCACTCAACTACTTTTAGTTTACAGTTGATATTTTCTCCTTTCTTTTTCTCGCGAGTGAAATTAACAAGTAATCTTATTAGTCTTTTTTTCCTCTCTCTCTCTCTCTCGTTCGATAGTAATAAGAACAGATTTTTGTGGAATAGATAGAGACAAACAAAAAAAGTTGAATAAATCAAGATACCTATCAACTAAGGAAAAGAAAAGAAATATATCGTCATCATGAATAAGAATAACAGGTATAAATGATGCAGTGTATATTGGTAATCTGTATATATCAATCTGGGTTTTTGTTGTTGTTTATTTATGGTAAACTGCGTGTTTTAAAGAATAAAAAAAATTTCTTGAACTTAGTTTTTATCCTATTCAGATACTATAAATCTCCATTTCATCTATCCATCTATCCATCTATCTATCTATATATTCCTTATAAGAATGTCTTCTTTTCACTTCTTGCCCCCTTTTACATTGTCAGTCATTCTAATTTATTCATTCTTTATGAAACTATTTTAATAAGAAAAGAGAAATTGCATGAAAGATTGATAAGTTTTGTACATCTTAAGCATAGAAGAAAGAAAAAGAAAGAAAAAGGAATGAATTACTGACATTTATTCTCCTTCTACTTCTTCTTCTTCTACGAAATTGAATACAAATGGGGATATACATATATCAAGTACTCGTTCATTTTGTACTGTTATTTCTTTCTTTAAGTTTACAATAAGAAACATTCGTTAGTATTGTAATTCTAGACAGGATTAAATTTTTATTCATTTGATAGACAGAAAATAAAAAAAACCTATACAAATAGTAGTCACAGAATTAGTTCATAGAAAATTTGATTGAGATCATCAATCGATTGATGTTAGATCAACGTTGAAAACCTTCAAGCACTGAACGGCCGTTTTGTCCCAGTGTACAACTCCTCAGTTGTGTAC